CCGAAATCATGAAAGACCTGGAGACAAATGTCGTTGAAGATGATGAAGAAAAGGATTTTGGAGAACTTCAGCGGTGGGAGGACGACGATGAAGAAGAAGAAGATAATCAAAATTATAAATTGTAGTTCTTGTACAAGTACAAGGCATAAGATTGTTGTGTTTATTTATGTAGGTTTGACATAAATATGTGACATAATAATTTCAATTTTATATTTCTCTTCTATAGATTTCAAATCTGCTACCACATTTTTATATAATAGAAATCTGGACCTCTAACATTCATATTGAAACAGTTCAATTACCAAAAAAATGGCATGTATTTGCATTCATTTCCATTCATGATATCACGTAAATGATAATAAGAAGGGGTACTTTTCTACCAATAGGTTTATGAAGTGAACATACCTTTTGTGAATTTTGATTCGAAAAATCCAACTCCTTGGTTATTTCCAGATAGAGATAGTGCTCCGTAACCCCTCAAGTACTCCTCAACCTGTTCTTTCAGTGGTTTGGTTGGTTCCGTATAGTTCGAACCGAAGACGACACCATAAAACGTAGGGTGGTCCTTTAGAAAACTACCAACCTGTAAATTTTTCACCACAGGTATATTCAAAGACTCCAAATGTTTCTTGGGGCCAATGCCTGATAACATCAGGAGTTGTGGAGTTTGAAACACTCCTGCACTCATTATGACTTCCTTGCTAGCTTTAGCGGTATATTTTTTGTGATGCAGGGTGAAAACAACCCCTTCTGCAGATGAACGAATGTGATCTATCAGAATTTTGGTGACGTATGCCTCTTTCACTACATGTAAATTCTTTCTTCCGAGGAACGGATGGATAAAAGCTTTCCCTCCATCTAGTCGTCTACCATTTATCGTATTTAACTGAAAGGGAGAGACTCCAAGACCTGTTCCGGAATTGTAATCTGCAACTCCATAACCCAGTTCTTCATTTGCTGCTAGCCAAGAATTCAGCTGTGGACTTCTGGGTAGATGATATTCCACGTTCCATAATCCACCTTTGCCATGGACTGGTTCATAAACTGGTGCTGCTTTATCGCGGTGGTGGAAATCTTCAGATTTTTTGAAGTAAGGTAATACTTTTTCATATGACCACGTAGAGTCGTTCACATGCTTTGCCCACCTATCGAAATCTAATCTTGAGCCTCTCGCGTATATTCCACCATTAATCAATGTAGAGCCACCAACTCCTCTTCCTCTTGGCAGCGGACATTTTTTGTCAACCATTCCTGAAAAATGTTTGATTTATTTTCCAAGTTATATTATTACTTTATATGAATCTAAAATCTTGCACAGTAATGATGATATCTTATATCATGTTTCATTTCATTTGTAGCCTGATTCGTTTTCGACAACCTACGGAAGGACTCCCGAGGAACATATTTCCAAAAACTGACTATCAATTGATAACTTGATTCTTGTGTGAGAAAAACTTTNGGTGTATGTTTTTTCACCATTTTTATCATCTTTCTCTTCAAAAGAGCAACTCAAAAACCAATATCAAGTTCCCAAAGAAGACTTCTGGAAATGGAGGGTAGAACCAAAACCAAAATTCGTAAGACGACACTGGAAGTAGAAAAGGAATTGACAAGAAGAGTGATTATTTTCCAGTATGGAATTATTAGCCATGGAAGCAAAAAATCCATAAACTTTTTTCTTGGAAGGGCCATCAAGGGACCTGAAAACATGTCTTGAAAAAAGATGAGAGGAACGTATTTGAAGAATGAATGAAGAATGATGGAAATTCAGAAGATTGGACGGTTGTTTCTGATAACGTATATCCAAGACGAAGCATCTTTCATAATCTGACTAACGTTTCAAAAATAATAAAAAATTTGAAGCTCACTATTCATCTTCCTCATTTATAATTTTTCCATCTCAGTTGACAAGGTTAAAAAGAAGTATCCAAAAAAAAAATTGAAACCCATCTTCCATTCTGGAATGTCTTATAATTGCTGCGGATGATAAAATGAATACAGCAACAGGATACTTATTGAAAATTAATAAGGTTGTGAGCCTGCTAGTCTTTCTCTAATGTTTTTTTTCCAAAAAATAGGTGGCTCTTTGTCTTCCAATATCTACTATACATAGCTCATGATAACTGTTGATCCTGGTAACTAAATCCACATTTGTTTTGAAACATTCGATCTTAAAGAGAAACTATTTAAGTCCCATGAAAATAAAAGTCAATCATTGACTTTATATTACAGTTACTGTCTTTATAAATAGTTTTTGTAATCTAGTTTGTTTTCATATAATTTTATTTGCATTCAACGTAGTGTAAACGAGTAAGTAATACTTTAAATAGTTGTTTATGTATAAGTATTCATAATTGTTTGAAATGTCACGGAAACTAGGGTATTGTTATCAAAAATAGTTTTTACAACCCAGTATTCGTCTTTCTGAATAATGAAAAGGTTACTTCAAATAAAGGAATTTTCATTTTATCTCTTTGAGTATTTTCATTGGAATTAATTTTTTGGAAACTGAGTTTGAAAACACCATAATTTTCTTAATCAGCTCATCAACTTCACAATTCGTTATATTTTTTGGCATATTATTCAAGTTTCCAAATTAGCAAAGACAAGAGATGACAGTTGTCATCACAGTAAGTTTCCAAAGTTAACCTCTAAACAAAACTACAAAAAAATCTCTTATTCAATATACATTTTTCGTCCAATACAAGATTCAAGGTACCTAATGGGTATTGTCACGCATTTGAGTATCGACTTCACATTTCAATTAACCTCATGAAAAAAAATATCTGACATTTAAATTGATGGATGCAGCCGTTACTACGGAAATTTCTCATTTTCAACCTCTGACATTTTGTATTACTCGTCTTATTATGTTATGCATTTATTGCCTGATTCGCCCCTTTTGGTTATGGATATCATCGAGTCTGCTAGTATAGGGCTCAGATTTCAGCTCATAAAAAAAGTCAAATGGGCTGAAATCAGGTAATCTAGCGGGTCTTTCCACTGTTCCTCTTCTTCCTCTCCGCCGATTGACAGTTTGGCGCGCCTTTTGTTTGAAACCAAATTCTGCGGTCTTACGTATTGGTTACTCAAATACCACCAAAGTACTGGATCATATAAAAATTATGGTATTTTGCAGGAAATTCAGATACAATAATAGGTGAAATTGAATCCCTTAGCATGAAATGAATCAGGAGATGACTGTAACTTAGAGACTTCTATGTATGCCTGAAAAAAGTATTATCATTGACAATGAGGCATTGAATGAGGCAATTATTCAAGTCTCGATCAAGAGAGTTGTATCCGTGATCGAATACCCGCCCGCATTTCCATGTCAGAAATATTAGTTTTGAGAGAGAGAGACAGAGAGATTGAGTATTTGATGAAATGTTTCTCAACAGGTACACTCTGGATGTGTCGGTACTAAAGTGAATGTTTTTTTGAAATCTCTAGACTCACCCAAGCAGCAAGTCTTTTGTGGAGTGCTGAAGAATCCCCAGTTATAGTCGGTGTACTCAACAGGAAAGTACATGGCGGGAATGTCAGTGAAGTTATTTCCAAAGTCTCCGGCTTCCAGCAGTAGAACATTGAAATTTTCATTTTCTGATAATCGGCTTGCAACCACAGTACCGGATCCTCCTGCACCGACGATGATAAAGTCGTATGTTCCAAAATCTGAAAATCAATAATAATAATGATGTACATATTTATTTCAAGTAAGTTAACAAACCGAATAATTCAATGAAAACAATAACCACCTTCCATAATTACTTGCTATATTTCAAAATTTATTTGGTAGATGGATATAGTAGCGAGAAAAGTTTTCGGAGAGGTGATACACAAAAAATGGTGGAGTTAAAAACATTCTTTATTACTTGATGGCTGATTTTCAGAAACAACTGGAAGATCTGGAAATCAGGAGAAAAAATTGGGAACCAACATTTCTAGAATGTATGAGTCTTCAACATAAGTTCACCGCAGAGTTCTCACCAACATGAATATCTGTGCATTAGAAATTAATCTGTTGAAAACGATAGCGATATCTTATTCTTAATAAGGCGAACTACCAGATGCGGGGAGAGAATTTAAAAATCGAGACACCATAACCCACTGAGAGGATAAGACCGACATTGTGAACAATAAAAAATACGTTTTGGGCATCTACAATGACAACTTTTTCTAGATCAATCAGTTGCTGATATCAGTTAGGAGATTTGAGATAATTGATTCAGGAAGGAATTCAGATTCCAAAAATTGTAAGAATGTTTTAATGATGATACTAGATGGAAAACTCAAAGGGTCGTCACAGAAATAATTGAAGATCAGGATGGCAAACGAAAAGAGATGATAATTGTATGAGCAACTCAATATAGGTAAAACACTGAATTTAATAGTCTGGCTTTGACCACTTACAGGGTAGTAACTTCGGGATGGCTGTCCTTGTTTATCTTGCACTGCCTGAACCACTGTGCATGCTGTTTTTGGCGAGTGCATTTGCTTGGGATGTGGGGGTTGAGCAAACCGGCCATCGGATGTTCTCTACCACATAGCCCCGCTGGATACGGGAATGACAGAATCACTTGTGGTTCTGTTATTCCCTAACTGAATGACATCCCAACGATGGCTGAATCCTAAGGTGTGTGTATCCGTGCCAAGAGGATGAATAACACTGAGCCTATCAGCTGTCTCTACGGTAATGCGGGGCTCTGCCGTGATTGACCTTCTTTCCCTAGCTACTCGTGGGACTTTTATGGACAGAGTGAACTTAAAAATTCTTTATGACGCTGACTCTACAGAGGAGATGGTTGAAAAGCTTACGACTCCAACTAACCTCCCTGTAAACTTAGAACAGGAGCGAGTCAACAGTGGAGATGGATGTCGAGTTTAAGACTCCAACTGACCTCCCTGTGAATTTTATTCAGAATCGAGTATACAGAGGAGATGGATGTCGAGTATACGACTCCAACTGATCTCCCTGTAAATTTAGTTCAAGAGCGAGTCTACAGAGGAGATGGATGTCGAGTTTACGACTCCAACTGACCTCCCTGTGAACTTAGATCAGGAGCGAGTCTACAGTGGAGATGGATGTTGAGTTTACGACTCCAACTGACCGCCCTGTAAATTTAGTTTGGGAGCGAGCCTACAGAGGAGGTGGATGTCGATTTTACGACTCCAACTGACCTCCCTGTAGGTTTAGTTCAGGAGCGAGAGCTTCTTAACCCCCCAACTCCTGATCCAACAACTGAACTTTGAAAAAATGTTTCTTGGTGAAGCCAGAAAACGACTGAGTCGTCTCCTCAAGAGCGGGGTACCTTATATAACCGCCTTGCACCAAATTCTTGAGCAGCGTACGCAGAATCTGTCTCAGGTGGGGGAACAAACCCCCCATTAACAGAGCATATACTTTGTGCCTGCCCCGCTGGGGACCGAATCAGGTCTTTAGAGTTCGGCAGAGCCGTACTCTTACCATCTGACCTGAAAGATCACTCACCATACAAATTAATTGGCTTCGTTAAGAAACTGGGTTCATTTGGCCGAGTGTGAATAGGTGTGAGCCACAATAAACCCTTGCGGGTTGCAGTGGTATATGATAACTTCCACTCATTCACCAGGTATTTGCAAATATCTAGAAAACCAAATTTATTTTGAACGAAAGTGAAGAAAATCAGAGTTCATCGTGTACTTGTTTGGGTATTTTTACCTTTCACAATCTGAAAAACCAGATTGTTAAAAGTGTTGTCATTATGACTCACCTTCAATTTTATTTTCGTCAGTTGGTTTGTATCTGTCAGCATTCTTTGGAAATTGGTAGGTGAGTGCATTCTTCTGAGCAGTCTCTATCAGATTCGTTAAATAGTCAACCTCATTGATGGGAGTCCTGAAATTCGTATAACTTAAGTCATTGTTCTAAAACAGTCACAAGTACCTATATTGTGGAAAATCTACCTAGGAAACCAACAATTTTCAAGATAGAACATCGCATAAATCGAATCACATTACATTACAGACCGTGTTAGGAATCACACATTAAAAGATAAGACCTCGTTAGTCCTTAGCTCGCACAAGTTTCTCAAACTTCTGAGAGTTGTCGTTCGTATGGGGGCTACAGCTAATTAACGGAGGAACATATTTTTTTAAATCATATCCATGAGTAGATTTTGACACCAGATCCTAATAGTAATTTTTCCAAACAAATCGAGAATTTCATTTCTTTCATTTATTCCTAAATCTATTTTCTATGTCACAAAAAATAAGTGTAACACTGTGATACAACATTAAAGAATGAAAAATGATTCATAAGTTATACAGGGTGGGCCATCGAAAATTTGACAAATTTACAGCGTCGTCACTTCAAACCCGGAGCAGAGGGGTGAACAAACTGCTAATGAAATTTTTAGGTAATGTCGCCCCACTCGAAATGGAAATTTATTGTTTACAAATATTGTACTATATAATTGCACTGTACCCAATCTGAATTTATACATTATTGTATAGTTACGATCGTCTTTTTTTTTTCAAAGAACCAATTTCTACCAACCTTGATTATTCCTTAGTTTTGGATCGTATCTTGGTAACTACGGAAGTACAATTTCAAAAGCTATGACTGATTTTTGTTTTTAATGTAATAAGTCAGACCCGGTTCAAAGATTAATTGAGAATGGAATTCAAATCTTGTTGGCAGTCTACAATGTGTGGACAGTAATCTGTGGACAGTATCCATCATCCACGTCAAGTCAAGTCAAGTGTGGCATGAGGGTTTGCTGGCCATACTTCTATGTTATGGCTGGTCGGATAATTTCTGTGTATGGCTCTCCAGCTTCCTTAAAGAACGTTTAATTGTATATCAACGACTCATTGAAAAAACGTAACAAGGTTCACTTCAATGCTACAAAAACCCAGACATCGGTTTTGTCCGAAACCGGATGCTTCTATGAGTTTGTTGGGGGTTAAAATAGACACCAATATGTTTTGGCGCAATCATGTCGCTGGAATTGCAAAGGCTGATTCTCAAAAGCTTGGAAAACTGTTCCTAACCAGAAGACTGTACACACCTCAGCAACTATTGATGCTTTATAAAGCTCAGATCAGACCTTTGGAGTATTTTTCTCATGTGTGGAGCTTCGCCCCTAAGCATAACCTGAAGCTGTTGGATTCTATTCAGTAAAGAGCCATCCACCTGAGTGGAGATGAAACATCACTTGATATCGAAGAAATGTTGGAGATTTGTCACTCTTCTATAAATACTTCCATGGGAAGTGTTCTAGTACTTGGCACATTTGATTCCACCAAGAGTAGTTCATATCAGGCACCGCTCTCAAAGCGCCTTGAGGATTTTCATGTAGTGCCTGAAGAACCCTGTACACTTATCGAATATTCCACTAACAAGTGCAGCAGCTCACGAACATTTCAATCGTATTTATTATCAAGTTCAAACTTGGTATTTGTTCTAAAACAGTCACAAGTACCTATATTGTGGAAAATCTACCTAGGAAACCAACAATTTTCAAGATAGAACATCGCATAAATCGAATCACATCACATTACAGACCGTGTTAGGAATCACACATTGAAAGATAAGACCTCGTTAGTCCTTAGCTCGCACAAGTTTCTCAAACTTCTGAGAGTTGTCGTTCGTATGGGGGCGACAGCTGATTAACGGAGAAACATATTTTTTTTAAACATATTCATGACACCAAATTCTAATAGTAATTTTTCCAAACAAATCGAGAATTTCATTTCTTTCAATTATTCCTAAATCCATTTTCTATGTCACAAAAAATAAGTGTAACCCTGTGATACAACATCAAAGAATGAAAAATGATTCATAAGTTATACAGGGTGGGCCATCGAAAATTTGACATGGAGGTTTTGGGTACTAATCTTGCAAATCCTAAAAAACGCTCAGATAGGTCGATTTTTATTGCGAGGAGGACAGTTTCTTCCCATTTACAGCGTCGTCACTTCAACCCCGGAGCAGAGGGGTGAACAACCCTTGCCCTTGGTAGCGAGTTACACATCGTTTGAAAGATCTTGGAATTCGCTATAACAGGGTGTACATTTTTTTTAATTTGGACGAATCATATTAAATTTAGAGTTGAAGTTACTTACTTTATTCTCATGTTAGCATATGCTCAAAATGGGCACCTCCAGCTTCCATGCAATAATAGAGATTCTGCTGGAAACGTTCTCGAACATTGTGAAGCATTTCTGAAGTGATTTGGCGACATTCATTTGTGATTCGTTGCCGTAAATCTTCGCGTGATGCAGGCGGAGTACAGTAAATTCTGCTTTTTAAATGACCCCACAGAAAGGAATCTAACGGCGAAAGGTCTGGTGATCGTGGTGGCCATTCGATAGTGCCCCGCCTCACAATCCAGTGATCTGGAAAAGTCTGATCTACATACTGCCGAACAGGCAGAGCATAGTGCGGAGGAGCCCCATCTTGTTGAAATATTAACATATCCTCCCGATAATTGTGGTAATTTTCTATAATATCAGTGAGAAGGGGATTAATAGTATCTTCCAGAAGCTCCAGATACATTCGTCTGGTTAAATTGCCTTCTAAAAACAATGGGCCAACAATACGGTCACCAAAAATTCCAGCCCATACATTTAATTTTTGTGGATGTTGAGTATGCACTTCATGAAAAATGTGAGGATTTGAATCAGCCCAATAGCGACAATTATGGCGATTAACTGTGCCATTTAGAAAAAAAGAACATTCGTCACTAAAGCAAATGTTGAAAACAAAATGTGGATTTTCCACCGCTCGTTCACTAACCAACTCGCAAAATTGCAAGCGTCGATCGAAATCATCTTCATTCAGTTCTTGCGTTAATTTAATCTTGTAAGGATGCATTTTATGGATTTTTAAAATACGCCAAATGCTAGTTCGTGACACCCCGGAAACAAATGCTAACTTTCTTGTGCTCAAAGTATGGTCAAGCTCAACATGGCCCAGAATTGCCACTTATGTCGGTCGCCTCATTTATTACTGGTGGTTCGAGTTGCCGTTTTTTATTTGCTACAGATTCAGTTGCGCGAAATTTTGCAATTAAATCGAAAACATACTGTCGCGACACATTCTTCCCTTTTGTTGATTGAAGAGTTCAGCGGCTCTCGCAGCACAACGTCTATTTCCATAGTACCGTTCAATCAACTCAGCCCTCTCTGCAGTTGTGTAAACCATTGTTTCTTTAGCAACACTACGGCACTCACTACTAGTAAAAATGTAGAAATGTAGATTTGTTGCTATTAACAATATTGAAAAAGTGAATTATCGAAAAAAACTCTTTTAAATACGTCCAAATTCAAAAAAATGTACACCATTGTTTAGAGGATTCCAAGATCTTTCAAACGATGTGCGACTCGCCTCCTATTCCCTATTAAAATTTCAAGGGTTGTTCACTCCTCTGCTACGGGGTTGAAGTGACGACGCTGTAAATGGGGAAAAACTGTCCCCCTCCCAATAAAAATCGACCTGTCTGAGCGTTTTTTCGGATTTGCAAGATTAGTACCCAAAACCTCCATGTCGAGTTTTCGATGGCCCATCCTGTATAAAAATATCACAAAGGGATCGTATGGAATCAAAAGTCGACAAGAGCCTTTACATCAATAAAAATGATGTTTTTGTTATTGCGTGAGAATTGTACTCATTTTGTTATTGTATTGAAAATGCTATTTATCAGGTATTCAGGTACTCTAGTAATTTTTTTTAACATTTCAGAAAAAATTTCATTGAGATTCTCGTCTATTTCATCATCTATTCCTTTATCTATTATATCCCATTGTAATTTTCAGTTTATTTCTTCGTTCCTCTTACATTATTCATGCAATTGATGAAGTCATATTCAGTATTGAACGAAAATCAGTTTTTATCGAACTTCTTTGGGTATTTTTACCTTCCATGATCTGAAAAATATGAAAATTGTTATAGAGAACACGTGTCGAAAAGGCAAACTATTTAGTTTACCCCGATATTTGATTGCCTATCAAAAAAGAGCTAGAAAATTATACAAAAATTTGAGTGTCATGCTGATTTTTTTTATTTCTCAACTTTCTCGAATGATGCTGAGGTACAATTGACTCTCTGGCTTGACTTTACTCTATTAAAAGCCAAGTTAGCATTCATCAGGGGATTATTGAAATTTTTAGTGTCAGTTATCTAACTGACTTTTCTGATTTTTACTTTCACGATACTAACCCAACTTGGTTAGAGAAACACGCATCGAAAGAGATATGTTCTGGTGGGACAAGTTTTCTTTAATAGAAAGGTGGGATTAATATTCTGGATAGAAAGTCAATGGAATTCCAAAAAATCAATTGGTAAATTGGATATAGGCCGTTAGAGTACCAGAAAAAATAGATGATATAACGCAGAAGTAATAGAAACAAAACTTCATTTTACACACCTTAAGAATTTTTTATACCAAAACCAACTTCGAACAATCGATTTTTGCATTTTTGAAAAATATTTGAATACATTTTTCAGGAAATTTCATGAAAAAATCGTATTTTTGTTTGAACAAATTTTTGGCGTACGCTCTTACAATCGCGTATTAAATTCTTAGCTTGATCACGTTTCGAATTTGGCAAGTTGTCGTTTGTATTGTGGTCTATTGTGGAGGTGTTTCCTCAGTTGACAGTGGCCGGTCAGAAATCCTGTTAAGTGTAGATTTTTCCTAGTCATCGGCAGATGTTTCTTCGGCGCCAGCATCCCAGGGTCCAAGATCATCTAGGGGGATCTTGGAGGATGAATACTAGCGGCCATAAAAAAAAGCGAGCGGGCTCTCTGTTTTTGTTTTGATCCACGATTATTTTATCGTTAGTATGAATAATTAATAAACACAAGAATTGTATTAAATCTTGTGGGAAATTATGCGAATCAGAGCTGTACAAGTAATATTTAAGGGCGTGTTACATTACACAAATTTGGTCTCACGCAAACCTTAAAGTTCCAACAACTGAAGAACCTTTAGATCAGGGGTTGGCAAGTAGTTTTAGGTGGGGTCCGGATACTGTGGGAAAATTTTAACGGGGTCCAGATGAAAACAAATATCAATAATAAAGTGCTACATATTATTTTGGTTTCGAATCACATTCTGAATTATAAAAGAAATACATGACCTCTTATCAATGTGAGGAACTACACCGACGGTCTTGAGCCAGTTTTCATAGTTTGGTTCTCGAGAGGAACAGCAAATTCGAAGTGTGTATTCTAGGTCTGCGTCTGTTAATCTCGAACGATATTTGTTTTTCGAAAAATTTATCTTTGTGAAAGATGTTTCACATATGTTTGTCGAGCCAAACATAGTAGCCAAATTGATAGCTAGTCTTTTACAATTTTCATGTTTGGCCCAAAATTCTTCAGTGGATACCGCTCTATACATTTGCAAATCAATTATCTCCATTTGAAGTGATGGCTTTGACAGAATAAACAACTTGGTAGCCACATCTGTCCATTTTGCCGCTGCATCAATTTCAACCTGAATTTTTTTCTCTGATTCTCTTCACTACAACTTTTCCTTTGCCAATCATTGCTGGGGCTCCGTCAGTTGGAAGCGAAACCATTTTGTCATAACTGATGTTATATTTCGTAATGAAATCATCAATGGCCTTGAATAAGTCTTCTCCTCGAGTGTTACCTTTCAACGGCAATATTGCTAGCAACTCTTTCCTAAAAATCTGACACTCAATGTAAAAAAATCTTACGAAAATTGACATTTGTTCATCATCAACAATATCACATGATTCATCAAGGGCTATGGCGTAGCAAATTGCCTTTTGCAGAAGTTGCTGACAATGAAATAATTTGAATTGCAGATACAACCTCTTTTTTTCTTCAAAAAGTGACGTAACGACGGCCAACATACATTCCTTCACTATCTCATAATCTGAAAATGGTTTCTGGTGTTTATTAAGCGTCCAGCACACACGTAACGCTGCTTCCGTGGGTTTGTCTTGGTCGCTCATGCAACGAACTAGTAATTTTGTACTCTTGGCCTGACTGCCAAGAGGAAAGTTTTTGTAGAATTGCTGATGAGTTGTTTCGTAGTGTCGCTTCTAATTTCCACTTTTAACAATAGCGACATTTTTCTTGCATATAAGGTACATTGGAACCGCTTGAGGCCTATCTTCTATTTTCACTGTCAAATTTTCGTTTTTCGGGATCCATATCAACGTAGGCAGAGAAAGATTTTTTATCAAACGAACGAAAACGACAGAAATCATAAAACAAATGTCCGGTTACTCCGTTGTTTTGTGCTGCGACTGATGAGTGGCAGTCTGTTTTCAGTGCTTTCCCACTCCCCCACTATTGATTTCGATACGCGCTCGTGCTTGTTTCAACAAAACAAAACAGGAGCAAGCACGCTGGAGATAAGTACGCGGTGCGCTGTGGAATGCTCTCGCACATATTTCCGAAAAACTGGTACGAAGTTCAATCTATGGATGTTTCGTGTGTATGAGATTTGAAAATTATTTAAATCGCATCAATCTGAATCGCACACACACAGGCTAGATAGGAAACTTATCAGTAGTAAGTAAAACAGGTTAACTAGGCAACTTGAAATAGAATACGTACTAAATTAGATTTTATTCGTGTTATTTTAATTGATAAAGGTATGGTATACCTCATCTACGAATTTGTATACGTACTTGGTATATAACACAATGTTTGGGGCGGTCCACGGTCCGTAAACGGACCGCGGTCCCCCTGTTGCTGACCAAGGCTTTAGATTATGGTTGAGAGGAAATAGAAAACCGATTCGAATTTCATTGATTTTCGGGGACCAATGTTAATTGAGGAGATAACCATTCAGCCTGGAAAAGGTAAGAATTCTTTTTTTATATTGATCATGTTTTACTATACACGCGTCCTCCTTTTCACAGATGATGATGACATGATCGCAATCAGAGAGAGATGAAAGCGATGCAAGCCGAATCAAGAATGAAAAAGATTATTTGCCATTATTATTTTTATTCGGTTAATTAAAATAAACGTTGAATAATTGAAAAATTATGCTGCAATAACTTATTCAATAATTATTTTCTTATACTAAAGTTTCCCCCATTACTGCATATTCAAATCAAGCATACTAACGAATAACTTAACAAAACGTGATGCTGTAGTAAATAATTAAGAAAATCAGCTAGCTATAAGTCAAGAAAAAGTCGTCAGCTGATAAGCTCAGTAGGTGATAGCTGCTGCTGCGTTAAACCTTTCAAGGTACCAGCTGACAAACTTTCCACTGCGTTCCAGCAACCTGACATTAATTTTCATCCACATTAGCATATAAACTATCATCAGGAGAACTTTCAGTGGGGAAGAAATAATTTTGATGAGATTATGCATTGCCCTAATTTCAGTACGGAACTGAAACCTCTTCGAAACAAGCCGAGATATGTGGATATTCATCAGTCTCCTATCAAGGTTAATTCACAAGTGATTGATCCACCTTCTTCTTTTTCAGTGCGGTCAGTGGACACAGGTCATTCTTTTGAATTACGTTACTAAATATCTATTCTGGTGATAGTTCATTATAAAACTGAATTTCTCCCAGAAATGTTTTCAATGTGTTTATGAAACAGCTATAAATAGGAAATTGGCACCGTTTTATAATACATAGTCTTCATTATTATTTTGTAAGGCCTGTCACGAACACTATAAAACAGTTTTATAAACATTTCTGAAGTTATTATAAAATTTTTCTTGCACTATTCATAAAGAATCTCATGATAAAATAATTGAAATACAATTTTAATTTTTAGTTATTCCAAGTAAGCTTTATTAAATATAATGCAGTCCAAAACGATGACGATAAAATGAAAAAGTGTTCAAAATGTTTTCTTTAAGGCGCAAGAAGTAATTCTGTATTGGACACTAGGAAAATATAACAGATATGTCACCAACTAATCATTTCAAAATGGCGTCGTTTTATAAAATAATCTGTTATCAATAGCAAGCATTTTAACGTATTTTAGCTACTATGTGATCCCCATAAAATTGTTAAGAAACACTTAGTTCTAGGAGTGATGGCATTGCTGCAGAATCGGACTACTTTTAAAGCTATAGATTTCTATAAAAATGAAGATAGGATTTCTCACGTATTGTTTGTCTAAATATTATCTGTCGGGATGTTAGCTAAGAATCTTCTTCCATCGATTATAAAGGCTGAATTTCGAAGGAGTTTTGAGCTAGTGATTTGAGTGTATTATTAACATGGTGCTCCACTTAAATCGACGGATTTTAATCATCAATAACCTTTTTCTGTTTTTAGCAAGAACAAAATTGAAGCACTGGGTTACGTGGGTCTTCGTCTAAAATGAACAACTTTCCCTAATTTTTTTCCTATGACCAATATTACACGACGTTATGAGGTATATAGTTATTGGGACGCCAGCCAAATAAAACTGACAAATTATTTATACTTCATTACACGATCAATGTCAGCTGGTTCTTCTTGAATGCTGCATTTCATTCTTGGCGACAGCAAATATATATTAGCGAGAGCAATTTGATGTTATAACAGTTATTTTATTGTTTTGGAATTGTAATAAATATACCACACTCTGAAATAGTTGAGAAATTATCATTAAAGTGACAATATGGCAATAAAACAAAATAATTTCATTAAAGCTACAGGACGCAGTTATAAAATAATCTTGAAATAGTTTTATAAAGAGCATAAAAACCTCACAGAAAAGTGCTACAAAACAATTTACTTTTATAGGAAAATATGTTCTATAATTGGAAAAACGTTTCAATTTAATTTTATAAACGTTTCTATGACAAATTTATAAAACACTTCTATTGCTTACAACTGTATTATGTTCATGGCTCGTCTAATATAATCAATTAGCATTTTGGAAGTAACTATAAAATACCAACAAAATAAAACTGTTGCAGCATCATGAAATTATAAAACAATTTTGCTGTTTGGGCATGTTATGGTTAGCTGACTTTATTTTCCTTTAATATATTGTGTAAACTACAATCCGACCAATTTTAAAATGGAAGAAATGCTCATGAAAATCTGTCACTGGCTCCTAGTCTATGGGGACCATAGTTGGTTCATATAAAAACCCTATATAGTCTATTTAACTCATGTTTTTTATACATATCGAAAGCAACAGTAAACAAATTCGGTACATTCTGTATCAAACAACTCAATCAAATAACTATTTGAATGACTAAAAATATGCGGCTTTGAGCAGAATGTTGTTTATAACTGCAACAATCTCCATTCTAATAAACTATCGATGGTATACACGGTTATCATTAAGCAATTGGATTTATTAAAAGTAAACTACTACTTACGCGCTTCTTCTGTTTTGGGTATTACAATAACCTGCAAGAATGTTTGCTTAGTACATGAAAAATTGTTAAAGTATGCAACTTACCTGTCACAGACTCCCAAGAAAGGAGTGAAAACAAGAGAAAAATAATTTTCGGGTTTCCATAGCACATACTTGTAACCTGCTCTTGATAAATTTTGTTCAAAATATTTTGTGCACCCTTATTTATAACTTTCTGATAATGAAACGATACCAAAATATTTCAAAAAGGTGAATTACGTTACTAAATATCTATTCTGGTGATAAAATGCTAAGTAGATATGTTTAGGTTCCACGTGCATTCAATTAATATATGCTGATTAGAAAGGAAAGCCACACCTACAATTGAATCGTTGAGTAAATAGTCCTTGCACTATTTGATTCAAGACACAAGTGGTTTCAGGGAAATTAACTTTTACTCTTTTGATCAAAATTGGTATTAGGTATGAAGAATAATACATTTTGCGTCATAAGCATTTTGGCAATATCTCCATTGTTAAATCTAAGCTAGTTAAATAGTTAAGCGCTTTCTATCTTCAAATTTGAATAAAACAAACTATGTTTGTATTCGTTTGAAAGACCTATTGATGCCATTATGTGTGGAATATAACGTCGTTTAAATGTCCGTCACGGCTTCTCTGAGTGGAGCGCATCTGAAACTATATTTCAGCATTGAGGAAGAACACAACTCAAAACTTAACTACCTGGACATAACCATAGTATATAACCACAACAAAATACAATTTCAATTGGCAATATACGGGAAACACAAAAATAAGCAAAAAAAAGTACATATGAACCAGACTAGTTGACAGTAAAGACCTGGACCGATGACGCCGAAAGCCCAAAATCCACAACAAACAGTGACACAGTGACTTTTTCGGAATGTATTGGACGCTCTTGGATCACATGTGGATTAATATAGTCCTATATTTGACAATTTTGTTTGTGATTTGGCAAAACAGAATGAATAAATGACAACTTATTTGACAGATGTAGCTTCAATAAGATGGCCGTTATCAATTGTCAAAGTTCGGAAGTCCCTGAATGAGAAACTGGTACTTTAAATGGTATTTAAGTATCCAGTTAAGTATAAGTATCCAAGTATTCTATTGAGGAAGATTTGACAATTCTGCTGGATAATATCATGTACTATATTGAATTATACTCAAAGGTATTTATGCACGTTGAAAAAATAGTTGGAAGAGATCGAGGTGGTAGTGAAATGCAATATATTATCATTTGAGACAAAACTTGAAATCATGAGGTTTTTAGAGATGGAAACTTGACATGTATATGGAAAAAAAAACGTATCCATCGTGATAATTATACAATTTCCACACTATAATCTTTATTCAAGACTATTTTCGCTACACGGTAGCTTCATCAGGTGGATTAGTGAATCAAACTATTCTACATCTTTTATGTAATTCTGGCATAACATGCCAATGATTAACATATTCATTGTGACAAATTACCGTTTCACCTGTCCTAAACAAATTCATTTCTAACAATATTTCACTAATCACAAACTAATTTATTTATTACAACACTTAGCAACTAACGCTTAACGCTTATTTCCACTATTTGAATTTCTTGTTAAGCCGCTCGATTCACTTTCTGAACTGCCCTCTTTCTTGACATGTATATTGAAAAAAAAACGTAGTGCTTTTACTCGTATCCATCATACTAATTATACAATTTTCACACTATAATCTTTATTCAAGACTAGTTTCGCTACACGGTAGCTTCATCAGGTGGACTGGTGAATCAAACTATCCTACAACATCTTTTATACAATATTAGCAGTCGAGTTCTGGCATAACATGCCAATGATTAACATATTCATTGTGACAAATTAACGTTTCACCTGTCGTAAACAAATTCATTTCCAACAAAATTTCACTAATCACAACACTTAGCAACTAACGCATAATTTATTTCCACTATTTGAATTTCTTTTAAGCCGCTCGGTTCACTTTCCGAACTGCCCTCTTGGGTCTGGAAGACATGCTTATATCGGTAACGGTCCTATCTAGAATTCTGTATTCGGTTCGGTACTAGAATTTTACCGGCGATTCCCGACTGCATTCTTTCGCGGTGAGATTATGTGTTTTTTCCATGAGCCGGATGGCGTAACGGTCAGAGGCGGCTTCATTTTCTTTACATTCACAATCTCTCTGTTTTCCTTCTACCTGTTTTACCATAATTATTCATTTATCTAATTAATATTTGGAATTATCTACTGTTAGATATTTGAAAAAACATCCTGAAATATTTTGATACACCAGTCAACTGATGAAATTACTGTGAAGCGAAACGCATCCTTAATGGCATTTATAATGTGAAAAAAGTATATAATTATTATCAGGGATAGCGTTACTGATTTTCATAAAGTGAATTCATGAAAAATTGTAGTAATTGTTGATATTATTTTCAACTAGCGACCCGATGCAACTTTGAACGTCTAGTAGAAGATATAATAGTACTAATAATAATGATAATAATCGCCTTTATTTCTCACATAAATTGTATACTTCACATTTGTGACCCTGAGCTAATAAACCGGAGAAAAAGACGGAGTTCATTTCATTTGAAGACAATACCTCCACTGAAATGTTCTTCCACTCAACCTCCAAAATGCTGCCCCAACTTTATCAACCTTTTCGAAATATCAGCATCATTATACATCTTTCCATGAATGAATGTTCCAAGTTTATATAGAAAAAAAAAAGTTTGGATTGGCCAAAATGATATTTCTTGCAATAATTTGAATTTTGTGAACGATAGACACATATGCCTATATTTTCTTTAACGTTGTTACATCAGCTAGTTCATGAGACAGGTTTCAGTTTGTACCTGGGGTTGTAATTTTGAAGAAATGAGGGCTGGAATTTTAGATTTACAGTTTATTCGAGAGTATTCGAAAGCATTCCATAATTTCGCAGAACATTCTCTGGACTTGTACAATGCTGGAGCATCTGAAATCAGCATTTTTGTACAGCATCGGATCCAGAATATTCATAGACATCTAAAATATTCAATGAAAATAATTCCATTTAAAATCTTTGGTTCATTTTGATCAAAATTGATGATCAGCTCCATGCTAATGAATACATAATTTTTTTGGGTAGGGTCATTTGATACCTAAGGCACTTCGATTTTTAAACGGTTTTATTCAGCTGGTCCTGTTTGTTCGGGTCAAATTCATCAATTAGAGTTTGACCCCTTCCCGTTGACAGATTAATCTGATATTTGTTATACACATTTAGTTTTGATGACAATACAATTCAATAAATTCTGTATCACTGTAAATCCAAAACGGCCGCAGCTACAAAATGGCGTATCACATATTTTTTCACAACTACCTCAATATGGGCATCGAATAATCCTCTCGGACTATAATGATAATGTAATGAAGACTAAAAAATTATTGGGAAGGTCCTAGGTGGCAGTCCTTACACCACTCAGCAATCTACGGTATGGATCAGATAAAAAATAATAAAATCGTTGGGCGTAGCGTAACCTGAGTGAATATGTAAAAACTACGCCAGACGATTTTATTATTTATTTATCTGATCAATACCGTAGATTGCTGAGGAGATTGGTGGATGGATGGTCATCCAAAAAGTATATCAAATACAGCGATTAGCTTGTTTAAATACCACAGGAGCCATGAGAACAACACCAACCGCGGCAATGGAATTAATTACTGGTCTGACCTTTCTGAACCTGTACTTTGAGGAGGTTGCTATCTGTATCTGTAGAGTAGGGAATGTGAGTGTGAGACCACATGTGACCCATTCTACATCCTCTCGAGGAGTTGTCCCTTCCAGGAAGGTGGACATAGGTCTTATTATTGCAGTGTAGATTCAGGTGACCACACGGGGTGAAAGACCCCATGCGCGTCCCACTGTCCTCTGACATTGCTCATTAGCAACATATGCTCTTTTTGCTCTACTCTGTAGGTGAGAGTTCCGTGTTAGCTTCCAGTCGAGGATAGTACCAAGGTATTTCACCTCTTCAGAGAAGTTTAGTTTGCTTTTGAAGACTGCTATCTAGGACCATTCAATAAATTATGTACATCATTATTTTTTTTTCGATAAAACCGTATAAAATAGAAAAAATCACTTATTTTATTTACATGTCAAAAAAGAGACTTGGAGTTGTTTTTCATTGCTGTTGGGGATTATCGAAATCATCAATTTCGAACTTTTTTTCAAACTTATTGAATTTTTAAATATCTATTTCCTAGTGAAAAAATATATTCGTTACTTTCTTCATGCATGGAATGAAGATAATGTGGCGTACGTTTTTGTATCAGGAATTACAAGTGTCAGTTATCACTTACCATGTCATTTTGATGACCTTAGAAGGTCATCAGCGTTTTGAAATTATCATTAACAATAACAAAAAATGATAAAAACTAATGATGCCGTATATTTCATAATGCGCAATAATTGAACACCGTAAATAAATATGTCAGTAATAATTTCAATAATGCAGATTTTTCGTCAAATTTCTTAAAATAAAACAGAAAGGTGATGATACTTCTAATTATTTTACTAATTCTATCAACTTTGCAATGCAATAATAATTGGTTTCGCAAAATTAATGAATATCGTTACCGTTTTCTCACTCGTTTCTTGATCGAGAGCAAGAAAGCGGTAGTGTGCACAATGAATTATAGTATTTCCAATACCAATTGGAACAGCACAGAGAAGGAATTCCCGCCTCGACATATTATTTTTCAGTGGTAGTTTTTCAGTTACTCATTCTTACAATCATAGCAATTGATCACCCCATGAAAAAGTTATCTCAACTGAATTTTTCCACTATGGGTAATTATGAAAAACTTCGAAATTTAAGGCAGTTGATTTCCGAGTCATACAATGAAAACACAAATGATCACACCGAATTCTCGTCAAACATATATTAACAAAATAATAGAGGCCAACAAAATTTCTAGAAAAATCAAAATTCTTCTTCGCTGTATTCGGATGAGGTGGAATCATCATCGGGTTGGATGACGATCGGATTTATGGAACTTTGCACATAATATTTGTTCTCTTCTTCTATAACGTGGGCCACAAAGTTCTTCCACACATCACTGTTACCTACTTCATTCACCACCGTTTTATATTGTCAAGCACTACAGCATTCAAAGTCGGTGACTGATTACATTACCGCAAGCTTTCTTTCATTGTGGCCCAAACCATTTCAATTGGATTGAACATACAATAGTATGGAGGCAAACGTAAGAGAATATGACCACGTGTTTCACACATCGAATTAATAATATACTTGAATTGAATTCAATTTTTTATATTTGAAACCACAAGACAATAAGACACCTCGTAAAGTTCCTATAGATTTATAAT